ATTGTATGTCAATTATATTTCAATTAGAAAAAAATGAATTTCTTATTAATAAACTCCCTGCTTCAGAGCTTAGCCCTTTTTCCTACTGGGAAAAAATTAAAACTGACAAAAATAAATAACAATAAAAACTAGTATGCCAGGAGGCATACTCATAAGCTCTGAGTAAGAAAAAAAAAGCCCAATTAAGGGATTGGAGAGTGAAGGGGGTAAAAATGGGGATTGTTATTTTATATGTTAAGTGTCCAGGAAAGGTCTCACTAATAAGATGTCATTTGAGCAGACATCTGAAGGAAATGAGACACAAACCATGTCAGTATTCAGAGGACAAACACTGTAGGCAGAAGGAACACCAAGTACAAAGCCCTGGAGGTAGGATTTCAGACAGGTCAAACTTAGAATGTTCTAAACAGAATCATTACACTTTCTATTTATTTCACTTAGCATACTATGCTCTAGTTCCATCCACTTTGTTGCATTTTTCTTAATCCTGTTCCTAATATTTCTCAGTTCAGTGGATGGCAACACCATCCAGTGTCTTGCCTAAGTCAGAAACAACAGGGCTTTGGTCTGATATCATGTGCCTCTTCCACTATATTGGCTGTGCTAAGGCCAGGATCTGTGTCTAGTTTACCATTATCCAAACACAGAGCCTGACCACAGCGGTGCTTAGAAAGTGGCAACACCACTCTGGTGGATACTGGCAACTAAGCTTAATATTAGACCTGAAGATGCCTCACTTTGCTGTGTTCAACCAACATAGGGTGAGCATTAAGTTTGTGCTAAACTCTCTGTTGGGTGTTAAGGATACAAAGATGATCAAAGAGATCCTCTAAGAAATTTGGTCTGATTCTGTACAATCAAAAGTTGTGTATAAGAAATCACAGACTCAAAAAAAATCATAGACTCATGTGTGTTCATATCAAAAAGTGGCTTCAAAGTCATAAGTTCTATAACTCTGAAGATGTGTTCATTGGATTAGGAGACCAACAGTAATAATAACAGTAGCAGTGGCTAGCATTTATTGAGGGCTTTGGATGTATCAGGCTCTGTGCTAAATACTTATATGAAATACTTAATTTTTACCTCAGATCTGTGATATGGGTACTATTATTCCTATTTTGCAGAAGAGAAAACTGAGACTCAGAGAGGAGGAATAACTTGTCTAGATCACATCACCCCTAAGTGATGGGGCCAGCATCCCAGCTCAGGCAGGCTGGTAGCAAAGTCACTACACTTGCTTCCCTGAGAAAGATAAATTTAGCTTAGCTGAGCCTCTCAGTCTTTTAGCCAGTCACGGTCTCATACACTGGCTCCAGACCTACCTTTTTTAGCCCTAATTTTCAGTTCTTTCTCTCCCCCTATATCAATATGCACTATCCCCAGGTGTCCAGAGTCCTAGCTCTTGCCCAACCTACTACATCCTCTAATATTGATGGGTTTTGGATTGGGCAGGAATCTTTTCCCTAATTTCATGACTTGACAAAATCATCAAGGTCATCCCTTCGGGGGAACATTTATCTGATGCCCCTCTCCACCCTTGGGGATAGGAAGCTCTTCATCTACAATGCTCCAGATCACCTTTGCCAGACTAGCATTCAGCTCCTCTCAGAACTCCATCCACAGAGTGCCCATTCTCCCAGAATGTTACCACTGTACCTCCCTCTTCCCAATGCCTATCACCAGGCCTGGCATAGAGGAGGTACCAATGGAACATTTAGTAAAGAAAGAAAGAAGCACTGTATTCATGTGGACCAGTCTGTCTACCAGAGTTTATTATAAAATTGCCTCCACACAGCCTGCACATCTGTTCTTATAAGCTTTTCACTGCAGCTACTGTTGTGCCCAAGATTGTGAATCTGAGAAACCACCAAGGAGCCGACACCGATGCAAGCACACGAGGGTTTATTAGCAAGCTCAAGCTTGGGTCCAAGTATACCCGACACAGGGGAGCAGGGACTTGGACCCTGAAGTGGCTTACAGCTGGGTTTTTTATAGGCTGGTCTAGGGGATTTTTCAGAAGGGGTGGAGGAATTTCTCAAGTTCTGTTTACATTCTGATATGGGGCTTTCAAGGGCATTGAGCTCTGTTATTCTAATATGGGAATTTCTACCACAGGTGTGGGCTCTGTTGTCTTTCTGATATGGGATTCTCTGCCCAGGGCAATTCTGAGCTCTGTTGTCTTTCCGATATGGGATTCCCTGCCAAGGATATTGAGGACATTCTGCAGTTTTTCCCGTAAAGTTCAGCTCTTATTCACAGGGGCCTAAGATGGCTGTATTTGTGCTAATGCTAAACTTTAGGTGGGATGGCCTTAATTTTTCTCGGCCTCCACACTACATTACACCAGGCAGCAGAGGTATTATCCCCATTTTGTAGGTGAAGAAACTTAAAGTATTCTTGCTCTCCCATGACTAGCCCCTATAGTGATCAAACAAGCTGATCATATGTCAGTCAGCATGTGGAAGTGGGGCCTGGAGGACTCCCTCTTTGAGAAGGCATTTTGAGTTACAAGTTTATGCCAATACTTGGTCGTTCCATACAATGTCTCTGGTGAGGAGTGAATCATACAAGTCAAGAGCTGTGCCACCTCATCACCACCCTCTCCTCCTTAATGTACACATATACAATATCATCCTGAGACTTAGAAATATCAAGACCAAGAAGAAGGGCACACAGCTGGGAGACCAATTTAGCATGTCAAAGACTACTTTTGTTTTTCTAAAACCCTTTATCTTTTGGACCCAGTCCAACTTTCAAGGGTAACTGGTATGGCAGAATGTTTGGTAGCTGGGAAGAGGACATGGAAGACTACCTCCTGTAACAGGAGTAGCACAGCAGTACCTTCTTGCCTCACAATTATTTCAAGCCCATCACTTGACTGTTTGCACAATTACTATCTCCCTATTCCCACAGCTGAGACTGCCCTGGCCCTGTTTTGCCCTTGGCTCAAGATTTGGAAACTGTCTTCCTCAAATTGTAATATTTGGCCTACTTCAGAAAATCAAGGTTTTGGGTGAAACATGAACAAATGGCAGGCAACTAGAGGCACAAGGGAGTTGCAGAAGACTATGGAGGAGGTGCTGAAAAAAAGACACTCCAAATCAGATCCAACAAATGAGAATCAGGACTTTACAAAGCACAGCTCCAGGGAAATATTATAGTTCAGCCACCCAGATGGGAAAACTAAGGCTAGGGAGGAGAAAGTACCCACCCAACAAAGTCACACAATGAGCCGGTGGCTCCCTACTCCCTGCCATTTATCCAGACCCAGGACCAAATTAGGAGGTCTGATGTTCAAGTTACTGATTTTTGTTGGAGATGTATAGAATGTCATGGAAGTTGGAAGAGATCAAGGAACTTGGTCAATCTTATACCTTGCTTGTGGAGATGAGGTGATAAACTGTCCCAGAGAGGAAAATGGACTGGCCAACATGATACAGCAAATCTGAGGTAGAGCTGGAGCCAGACCCATCCCTAACAGCCATGGAAGTTCCTGTACTCCACACATGCAGAGGCAACAGTCCTCCTCTTTCCACTCTAGCAGTTGGATCTTTTCAAGGCATACAGGACCCTCTAGAGTAGCAGAGAACACTCCTGCTGCAATGCAAAAATAGTAGGCATTGTTCTCTAATCCCTTCTCTCTCTCCAACTTTAATCCCCTCACCCTTTTCAGATATTCAGAGTTTTAGGGTAGGGCTTTCTGGATATTCTTGAGCTAGTGGTAGAACTGGATTCCTTATTGCCTCATCTCACTAGTCCTTGGCAGCCACCTACTGCCCTCAGGCTGGTTAAGACCCAAGCTCAGGGATCCCTGGGTGGCGCAGCGGTTTGGCGCCTGCCTTTGGCCCAGGGCGTGATCCTGGAGACCCGGGATCGAGTCCCACGTCAGGCTCCCGGTGCATGGAGCCTGCTTCTCCCTCTGCCTATGTCTCTGCCTCTCTCTCTCTCTCTCTCTCTCTGTGACTATCATAAATAAATAAAAAAAATTTAAAAAAAAAGACCCAAGCTCAGGCTGGCCACCTGCCACATCCCAAACACAGAAGCCAGCTGGGCTGGTACAGGCTTCCTCACTCCACCCTCAGCCTTGACCTCCAATCTGGGCCCACACAAGATTTTTCCCTCAATTTGTAGACTTTTCAGGGACAGGGAAATGTACAAAGCCTGGCTTACCATGAAAAGGTTGAGGACCCCTCTAGAGTCCTTGGAGATCCCCTCTTGTTGCATGAAAGATGGGAAATTTGGGTGAGGGTCAAACTACAGGAACAGGTCTCTCCAGAGAAAACTGAAAGCAGTGTAGGACAGGAGCCTGGGGTTCTGAATCCCAAATCTGCCCCGTCGCTGGCAGGCTAGGTGATCTCAGAAAAGTGCCTTCCCTTTTCTGAGCAACAGCAGGCCCTTAGGTGCAAACTGACCTCGATGGGCTCTTGGTGTGCCTGAGAAGCCAAAGAAGCTGGGGCATGGACGCTACAATTAGATTTCCTGGCAGGTGAGTCCCCCCTCTGGATGGCCTGAGGGCGGGCGCCACGGGGCCCCATCTCTACACCTAAGGTTGGGCCTGGCGAAATTGTCAAGGGTCTTCGCAGTCCCCCAGGTTCTCCAGCTTCTCCGCCCGGCCTCTCCTTCTAGAATAAACTGCCGGGTGGCGGTCAGGTCGCCTCAGAACGATTGCACAGAGTCCACGGAAATGGGAGCTTATGCAAAACCGAAACCGAACTCCAGGGTTCCAGCGAGCCCCATCTGGGCGGGACCGGCACTGCGGGCTCGCTGGGTAGCCAAGCCCAGACCCGCCAAGTGTGGGGGCGGGAATAAGGAGTCCCAGCAAGGGGTTCTTCACCCTCTCCGCCTTCTGCCAACACCACGCCCATGCTTATTTGCATTTAAAGGAAAAGGCACCAAGGAAAACAGTGGGCGGGTCAGGACACGCCTTCCTACAGTGGCGATTGGGCCACACGTCTGCCAATCAGGGCGCGGACGCCCCACCCTGTGTCTGTGGAGTCGGTGGGGAGGGGGTATGGGGGAGCTCCCCCAAGCCTGGGGAAGGGGAGCCAGTGCAGGAGGTGACTGGAACCGCGGTGGCGGCGGCGGGAGCAGCAGTGGCGGTGATCTCAGCCACAGCAGCCTAGGCTCCAGCCTGGGCCAGTGCGACGCAGCAGACAATAACCGGGCTGGAAACCAGACTCGGCCGGGTAAGCGTTGCGCGCAGCCGGGAGCCTCCGCCTGCCAGCAGTCCGGTGCAGTCCCGCGTGCTCCGCTCTGGCACCCTGAAGAGGGGCTCCAAGAGCTGGGCCAGTGGGCGTTCGGGCCGCTCTCCGTTCTCCCGGGGAACCAGCTTTGAGGACTGGCTGGTGAGGGGAAAAGCAAAGTCCTCTGGGAGCGGGCGACCGCAGCTAGAGAGGGCGTAGAGGGCGGGTAGGCTAGCAGGCTAGCCTGGGCCATTCCTCCAGGCTCACGGGGCAGGCGGGGATGGGGCCCACACGTGCTACCGCAGGGGCCCAGGAGGGGAGCCGCCAGCCAGCACCCCCAGCGGTGCATTTGTAGGCCGGGAGCTCCGGAGCTCCGCAGCTTTGTTGTAGCACATTAGCTGCAACAGCTGTGTTACGTGGGTATTGCTCACCCCAGCGGCCCAGCTGCCGCCCCTTCTCCCCTGCACATCCCCTGCCTGCTTCTCCACTCTGCGGGATGGAGCCAGCGCGCTGGCCTGGGCCCAATGGATACTAGCTTTGGCGTGGATTGGGCTATCCACACTGTCGGCCTTCTCTCCCAGAAAGCTCAGTTGGGCCTGTGGGCTGTCCACTTAGGAACCTTGGCCTTGTGGGCCCCAACCAGCCTTACCCCCTGCTCCTGGGCCTCCAGGCACATCTGGCGCCCGCACCCGCAGAAAGGCAGACTGGCAACGGAGTTCTTGCTGGACCTTAGGCTGGGGCTGCAGCTCAAGCTAGTCCTTGGGTTAGATCTGCAAGGCCGCTTTGTCCCCTCTCAACCCGCCTCTTCTCCCCTTGGAGAACACAGGCCGCTTTTTTCTCTTCTGCCTCCCATTTAAAAATAGTGATAAGCACCGTGTTGGTGGGGGATTTCTGTGCCAGAGGCCGAAGGAGCAATTATTGTAGTAGAGAACACACTGTTTGGGTCTGTGTGAGAGAGGTAGAGAGACAGCCAAACCCTCCAACTTTGCAGTTACTTAAAATACCCAGCCTGCTGAGCTGCTGTCATTGTCTACTGCTGACACCTCTGACACTGGTGACCACCTGACTGCAGGACTTTGCCTAGGCTCCCTGGCAAAGACTGGCTGTGGCCTCCATGTGATCCACAGTCCAGGTGCCCAGGTAGCAGCTGAACTAGCCCCACAGAGCTGGCCTCGGTTTGGTCAGGCTCATCTTGTCATGGCCCACATGGTCAAGGGGAGTCTCCTCCTGCACACAAACATTTACCTCTGTCACTCTGCTGGCCTGCTGCACAGGCATGGATATGGGCTAGGTGGAGGGTACTGTGCTATTAGACTCCCTGCCCCACCTGAGGGCATTTTAGCAGAGCCCTCTCCTGGCCATTACAGCTTCTCACATTCATCCCCACCCACCTCTCAGTCGCTGTCCCATGGTTTTCTTCTGGCAATACACTCTAGGTCTTCCCAAGAACAGGAGAGACAAGGTGACCAAGCGGCTGGCAGGCTCTTGGACCTTTAACCAGTCTCTGAGGTGGCGAACGCTGTGGGCTGCAAAAACTGGGTATTTGAGAGGAGTAAATCCCTCACCTGGGGGAAGGCTAGCTGGGGACCTTTGTGACCCAGCCAGGACTGCAGATAATGCACAACAGTCACTTCTTGCTACTTTGACCAGACACTAACAGAAACCAACCCTCTGCAGCTAGGGCTGCAGCTCAGGGCTAGACCTGCTTTCTGCCCTGCCTCAAACCAACAACCACCTATTTCTTCCATCTATAACTCCCCTCCTTACACCCAAACCACTGCCCAAATGCTTTTCCCTCTCAGGCCTTAGCTCTGGGCCCAACTTCTCCTGGGTATCTTTTCCACCTGTCTCTTGCAACCCATAATGAACTCTTCTTTCTCAGAACTCCTCCAGGCTTGCCTGCATCCTTTGGCCACTTAGGGGCCTAAATTATAATAGGAGACAAACTATAATTAGGTCTCCCTGCCTCTACTTTGTCTTCGTGATATCATGGATCATTTACCCTCAGAAGGGTAAATGAAACCTTGAACTCAGCCACAACCCCCTCAAAGCCTAGCAATGCATAACAATTCATGAATGCTCCAGAAAGACTTGCTGTCCTTGTGGATATTTCAAGAAGATCTTCTCCAAGTTACACTTGTCCTGATCCATATGAAAGTGATTAGAGAAATGATACTCAAGGCTCAGATATTTATTGAGTATACCTAATGAGAATGGAGAAGGGTGATGGGTTGCAACTATAAGAACAAAATAAATCATGTCTCCCTTCAACAGCAAGCTCAAGATCTGTACTGCCTAGACCCCAGACTACACATATCTTTGGTTGCTGATTCATGAGCCTAGAGGCAAACTACTGTGGAGAGAGAGAAGAAATCTGTATATGCAGAGAGATCACCCTGGAAGCTTCCAGAAATTAGAGGGATTTGGCTAGGTATAGGGTAGTAGTATAAGCAAAATTAGGAATGTGAGGGTGTGGTTGGTAACCAAGCTGAAAGATGTGACTTCAGGTTGAGATTGTTGCATTTAAGGCAGAGAGGAGATTGGTGCCCAGTGATGGGTATTCCCAAATGTCAGGCTGTGGAATGGGCATCTTGATCTTGGGAGAATGGAAGAAAGGGCCATTGAAGAATGGAAAATTGGGAGGTTTTTTTTTTAAATGTTTTTTTTAATTTTTATTTATTTATGATAGTCACACACACAGAGAGAGAGAGGCAGAGACACAGGCAGAGGGAGAAGCAGGCTCCATGCACCGGGAGCCCGACATGGGACTCGATCCCGGGTCTCCAGGATCGCGCCCTGGGCCAAAGGCAGGCGCCAAACCGCTGCGCCACCCAGGGATCCCAAAAATTGGGAGGTTTTGATACTTCTATGCGTATATACAAATATGCTATAATACGGGATTTTAGAAAGAGGTCTTAGAGATTGAAAGCATGCTGTAAGTCGGAACTGTAAGAGGTCACCTTTGAATCTGGACATAGAACCAAAGGGCAGCTTTCTCTGGAGGAAGTTGTGCCATGTTAGCTTCCCTTAAGCTTTGCAGGGGATGAAGTTGAAGGAGGGTGCCTAGAGCCTGCATACCAATATGGTAGAGGCTAAATATCTCACAGGCCTCTGATGATCTCCATCCTTCCAACTGGACAGACCTTCAGGGAGTACCAGTTTGGACTCCTGTGCTTATGAGATGGAAATTCTGATGCTGGAAAGCAACAGGGACTTCCTTAAGGCCACACAGCATTTAGGGATAGGCTGCCACGGCAGAGGGGCTTCCAGCTCCCTCGCAGATAGGCTACTCTAGGGTAGAAGAAGGCATGTCCTGTGTTATTCCATCAGTTCCCCTGCCTTGAATCAGTCCAGGCAAATAAACTAAGTGATAAACATAAAGGCTCCAGAGGAGGCATTTCCTCCTTGTGTCACTCATTCCTCAGCCACACATCTCACACTGCCAGGAACTTCTTAGGGCTAATCTGAGCTTTTCATGCCATACATAAACTGTGTGTGCATGCTTGTGTGCATGTGAGCGTGTGTGTGTGTATGTGTGTGTGTGTGTGTGTGTGTGAGAGAGAGAGAGAGAGAGAGAGAGAGAGAGAGTTGGGGGATGAAGTTGGGGGCAGCTGGCCATCATTGCTCCTGCTTAACAAACCATTGGAGATTTCATGGGCATTAAACTGTCTCTCCTATTCCCAACTTCTGTTCTCTGAATTAGATAGTCACAGAGCTTTTCACCTCCTCTCCTTGGTCTTATTGTTCAAACCTGTGCATGTGTAAGTCTATCTCTAGGAATAAAGTTAGGGAAACCAGAGCCACTGAAGAGGTGTAGGTGCCGTCTGAGTGAGGGTGCATTGCTTCCCCACACCTCCCCTTTTGGGATTAGGGGATAATATAGACAATGAAGAAAATAATATGAGGAGTCTTGGTGGCAGCACAGGTAGAGATATATTGGTGTTACAGGGGCATTTGGGACTTTTTGATCTGCAGTTCTCGTTGCAGAGCCTTCAGTGCTTTCATCTCCTACAGGATTTTTTCCCTGCTAGGCTTCCAAGCAGATACTAACTCAACTTCTCCATCCAGCACTCGTCAGTCCTCCCTCCTTGGGGGTACTCAGTGGAGAGAGGCTGGGCTGGTCCAGTTATGATACCCTTCCCCTCTGGACATATGGGGAATATTTGCAGGCCAGGCCTAGTGCTTTTTGAAAAAATAAAATGTTTGGTGGGGTTCTGTGGAGGGAAGCATGAGAAGTGAGGCTGGGCTGTAGTACAGTGGTGGACTGAGCCCTATTGGCTAGGCATGTAGGCCTTCCACTGAAGCCTAGGACCCCCAAAATCACATGCCCCAACCATGGCTCTTTTTCTTCAGCCACTGGAAAACTGGGCACAGGACTATCCTTCTCCTGGCTTCACACACAATCTGGGGCAAGCAGACTCCTAGTTTAATCTCCCATTTCTAGATATGGAAACTGAGGCCATGAACAGGGAAGGGATTTGCTCAAGTTTACAAAGGAGCACAAAGATCCTGGCCCTCAATTCAAGATTTCTTCCTCTGAGTACACTGATTCTGATCCCCTCCCAAGCCTCAATTTCCTTACCTGGTCTCTCATATAGAGTATAGTACATACAGGGGAGTGGATACATGGGTAAGTTCAGGGTCTCCATTGTTCATTTGACCCAGCTGTTCCTCTTCAGGCTTTTATTGGCTACCTTGTCACATCTGTTTCCTTGGAGTTAGCTCCTCTTATTCTTCATCTCAACTGGGTGGGGGGAGGTGGTACCTGTCTTTGATGCCCCTCTTGCTGGGTTAGTGCTGACATAGAAGCCTTACTATGCAGGCAAGGCACCCACCTCAGATATATTCCTCTCTAAGGAAGTTTGGGACCCTGAGAAGGGAGTAGCAAATAGATGGCTTGGCTCCTAGAGCCCCCATCATTCCAGGCAAGCTGGGCAGGGAATCTCAACAGCCTAAGGAGAAGGTGGAGCATGAAGAAGGCTTACCAGGAAAGCCAATTTCTA